GGGTCAAGAAAGATATTGATTGAAACTTCATAATTGTTGATGACCTGTGTGTGTGTATGTGTGTGTGTGTGTGTGTATGTGTGTGTTGGTGTTGAGTTTTCTGATCAATTTCAAAACTGCTCCATCAGGGGTCATAATAATGACAGATAGCACTGTTGCCATTGGTTCCTTCCTTTGTCGACCAACCAATCAGAGCTCGGCTCCCACCAACCCACAGACACTAAATACAGATTATAGAGTTTCAGTTTCCATCTCTTTTCTTATTTTTCCAAATCTGATCTCTGTCTTTGAAACATAAACTCATTTTGGGATCCGTTTTGAGGGCAGGTTACACTCCTCAGGACACGCACACACACACACACACACACTCGTGCAGTGCTGAGATGGGGTTATACTACTCCTAAATCATTAGGGGTCATTGTCAACACCCACACTCGTCTTTCACAGAGGATCTGATGAAGCTCAGCCTTCCTCTTCCTCCTTATTCTCATCCTGTTCTTTACAGGTCACTGATTTAGTGCTGACTCAACACAGTACCACAGGTCATCATCATACAAAAGTAAAACTTTTCTGGACATTTGAGATTTAACCTGTTACCTGGATTGGTGCTTTTGTTAATTGCCTTTTTTTTTTACCTATCACATATTTTGTAATCATCCCAAATTAGATGTCATTTGAAATCATTTGAAAGGTTAAACAACCAAAATTCATTCCATGAAAACTATTCTGAAATCGGACATTGCGCTATCTTGAAAATAGTACTTTAAATCCCTTTAGCAGGCTCCTCCCCCTAGTGGACAGTGTCAAGTGTCACATTACAAAATTTACTACAATATTTTATAATCTTTTCTAATCTTGACAAAACACATTGTTGGAAAGGTCTGGGTCTCAATGTTTCATGTATGCATGTATGGTGGTTATTTTGTGATATAAGTAATATATTTAGGAATTTGTGACAGGAAAATGCATTAAAAATTCTATAGTGTTTGGGTGTCACCCATTGGCTATTTTTGGTATAGCATCTAAACAAAATCTAATAGGAACCTCAGTTTTTGTGATATCAACTTCAAATTTGGAACATGGTTAGACATAGGGCTTTGATTTTATATTCCAAAACATTTTGTAAATTATTTATTTTATATCAAATAAAATAAAAATAGTACAGTACATTTTCTTTACAGTAAACGTATTTGTATTCCGATGCATTCATTATTTACAACCATTTTAGTTCGCATAGTGCATTTTCACATCAATGTTCAAAAAGGACAGTTAGGAGGTTATAAGTGATCAGATTATTTTTGCCATCATCTAGCCGTAAAGGTCATTGCACAGCGAGTCTGAAATTTTCGTATGCGTTTTTTCGTATTCGTTAAGGTCCTTGCACACTGAAGGGCATTGCACACTAAGTCCGAAATTTTCGAACGTTAAAAAATAAATACGACTCACGTTGTGTCAATCACGTTTATACACTGCCTCTGAAACTTTCGTCCATCATAAAAAAATTTGGATCAGCTTCGATTTTCTGCGAAAAAAAGTGGGGGAAAAAAATGCATACGAAAATTTTGGACTCAGTGTGCAATGCCTTAACTTAAAGGAAAAGTACTATATTAAGATTTAACTGTTTAAGCACACTATTTCTTGAACAGCACTTTCCTGTAATGGAGGTCTGACCTCATGAACTATTAATATCAAAATGAGTAGTTATCCATATTTCATATTGTACATTATAATGTTAAGTCTAAATTAACTTTTGCCAGCAAAAAACATATTCCTGACCATTTATCAAATAACAAATTATCAATAAAAATATGAAATATTATTTGAAAATTTTGAAATGATTATAAGAATAATAAACTTTATTTATGTAGCACCTTTCAGACATGAGATGCAGCAAAGTGCTTTACATAATCAAAAATTACATACATATCAAGTTCAACATTACATCTAAACCTTAAAAATGTAACATTATAAATGTTATAACTTAACATTATAAATTAATCTTTTGTAACATTAAAAAAGTTAGCATAATTGTAATATTATTTCAATTTTGTTTTTATGGTATTTTTAAATAAATAAACAAATAAATGCAAAACATTAAAAAAAAACATTAAAAAACATACAAAAAAATTACTGACCAAAAACTTTTGTATCATTATATGTAAATTACTAAATATAATGTGTTTATATATACAGTATACACACTATAAAAATTAGGTTAATTGCAATTGACTTAAAGGAAGTAGAAATTGGTTTAATTATTTTAATGAGTTAAAGTAATGGAAAAAAATAGTGCCATGGCTTATTGATTTTTTTTCCTTGACTTATTGACTCATTGCACTGACTGAGATGT